GTTTCCGAAATTGGGGGTACCTTATTCTGGGGTCCTTATAATGAGGATCCTACTATTCAGGGTGTTATGTTAGGGTCCCCTTTTTTCGGAAACCCCCATTTGTTGCCTTTCAGAACCCCTCTATAATTTAGCGTCTACTCCCTTCGGCAGTTGCATTGGAGTTTGGAGTCTCAGTGTCCATCGACAGAAACTTATATACTATGCATGAGAAGTCTTATATTGGTCCACCTGAGGTCCCCAAAGCTCATGCACATGCCCCACGTTGCCCGCGAGCCCTTCCCGGCCGAGTGACAGGGCCTAGATAGAGCTGTTTGCAGTCTGGGGAGGGTTTAGGGCTTTAGGATCTTGAGGGGTTTGAGGGTTCAGGGTGTAGGCTTTGAGGGTTTTGGATTTAGGTGCTTGTGGGTTTAGCGTCTAAGGTCCCGTTCGTACGAGGGCAGCAACGAAGCGGTAACTTTCGGTAGGTTTCACGAGCCGAGGGCTTTTCTTGCAATTTGGGAGCTGCCAGCGCTTCGAAGGCTATAACCGCGTAAATTAGTAGCTCGTGCTTAGGATTTGTTTTTTAATTTTTAGGGCTTACGCCTCCACAGTGTAGGGTCGCGTGTCTTTAGGCTCTAGTGGTATCTTGAACATTATTGCTGAGAAAGTTTATTGAGCGCACGTTAACCCCCAACCCGTTATTCAGCTCGCACATTGAATGTTGAACTGTTTGGTGGCTTCGGCCTGCGATGGAGTTCAGGGCAGATGCGACTTCTAAGCACGACTCTAGGGTGGACTATTAAGTTCGGGCTAAAGCACGTTATGTCTCCGTTCAGAAGTTCAAATCGTCCTCGATCCCGAGATGAGGAGCAGGAGTATCCAAGCAGTATCTTGGACCAGACCCGCCGGTTTCGCTGGTAAGACAACATCTGTCGGGTTCAGGACTGGTGGGTTCCTAAACCATAAACCCCAAATCCTAAAATCAAAAACCCATCACGCCGACCTGCGACTATGGATCCTCGCCTGGCTTGTCCGAGTGGTGAGAGCCAAAAACCCTGGGTTTATGGTTCAGTTGAAATTAATATAGGGGCCGAAATAATTACCTATATATATATATATATGCTCGCCC